TCGTGGTGAAGGAGAGCGCCGAGAAACATGCCTCCGGCGGGGTGAAACGGAACGTTCAGGTGATGAGCGCAACTGTCTGTCCGAGGAATTGGAGCGACTTCTTAATGGCGATGATGCTCCAGATATGCTTCTTGACCTCTGCCTTCCACTGTGCAACCAAGTTGAAGAAGTTAATATCGAGGACATAAATTAAAAACTGATAAATCTTCTTACTTATAAAGACTCAAGACTAATTCAAATGCTATCTTTTGGGGAAAGAAAACTTGAGTAACTATACAGTGTAATTCCAGAAAGAGAAAAGAGGATGTAATTTAGGAAATTCAAAGATGGAATTTCAGCATTTATCAAGAAAAGCTACCATCTTCCATTTTACAAAAGATGGAAATAGAGGTATAAAGTTCATGATGTTTAAAGTTAAACAATTTGGGGGTTCTTCTGAATCCCTCTTTCTCCTTCTTTTGCTTATAGCACAGATCACCAACATTTACCACAATCAACATACGTACCGCAAAGATGGGGAGTGGTAGGGAGAATCTGGAGACTGATTATCCCTGCTGAGGTGGAACATATATCAGTCCAACATCATGCAATTATTCTAAAGTTGAAGTTTTCTTTCTTTTCTAACTTGTGTTTGCACTATAATAGCATGAATTAAGAGTGGAAAGATTTTACTATATTCACTGTTGGGTGATCCGACACTTTCTAATCTTTTCAAATAGCAACTCACACTTAACTTGAGCAAGAACATGATCTACGTCATGACACATCATGTACCTGAATCAGTATGCTCTGCCTATTGCAAGATCCAGGACAAAATAATAAAGGTTGTATCGCTAATCAAATGTGACCAAAAAAGTTAAAGCCTATAATACACACAAATGACATGATAGGTACGGTACACCTAGGGGCTTGTGACTGAAGGCGCTGCAAGCTGCAACATTGTGGCACTCTGAAGCTAAGCAATTCCGGTGAAGCAAAGCAAAGAGCGTATCAAGTGTTCTTTGCTGATGCAAAGAACCACTCTCTCAACCGTGGTTTGAGAAATTCACGTTTTAGGACTCAGTCCGTGACTTCTCCATAAATCCTATGCTTGAGTAGTATAGTTCAAGCTTGCAAATAAATTTATATACACGAAGTGGACAAACTCTTTTAATGATTATAATTTAAAGGTCACGAGTTACAAGGGAGATGGTGCAATTAAGGAACTTGAATACGGCCATCTCTTTAGAAACTTATAACGGGAGTGTGCCCTTCATTTAATATTACACTTAAGTAATCAAGGCCTGCCCTTCTGCTTAAACCCGATTTTTGATAAATGCAAAAATATGAACCAAGTCTCAAATTACTGTTGAGCGATCTATTAAACCTTCACTATACCTGCTGCGTCTTCTCCTGTCATTTCTCTTGTCACGTTCTTTCTCATCTGCCACATTGATGGTGGACCTTTCAATATCATCTTTCACATTAAGCTCCAGCTCTGTATTTTTATCTTTTTGCCTTGCACCATCGCCGCCCTACAGCAGTTTGAGGTAAAGGATATGAACCCAAATAATTGCAGAAGCAAGCTGAATGCAATCAGACAGAAACAGTAAGTCAACGAAAAAGAAGTCTAGTTCGATATAAGTGAACTCATGCTTGGAATAAGATTGAATTACCATCTTCATTTTCTCTTGCTCAGCTTCTAACTTCTCCTTCTCCCTCTTCCGTTGAATTTCATTAGCTATACCATCTTTCTCGGCCTGCAATATGAATAAGGCGTCGTTATATAAAGATGAGCCATTATCCTTGATGAAGAAGACCTACCAAATAAAAACAAAGACCAACCTTCTTCTTCTCAGCTTCCTCTACTTTTGCATCTAGAAATTGTTGGGGAACGCCACTCACGTTTTGCTGTGCACTGAGAAGCAGCGACCAGAGCTCCTTCATAAACTTCCCAGTATTTCTCTCCATAAATCCAGTAAGTGAAATCTGGACCTGCTTTCCGTTAACTCCCTGCATCCAGTCACATCAATACATTCGCTACATAATAACATATAAAAATCTGAGATTTACCAGAGCTCAAAGTTAAAATGACACAGCTGCCTCAGAAAATCGCAATGATGGAATAATAATACAAAACAAGATTCCCATTAACAACCAGAACTTCAATATGCTATTCTTCAGTCAAATAATGTTAATGCCATTAAGAAATACCTTTCCCTCCAACAGACCATAAATAAAATTGATAAGCACTTCATCTTCGAAACCAATTAGCTCAGTTACACGCTTTGCTATCCAAGGCTTCATAACATCCATCTTCACTTTTGTCATGTCCACCTAAACAACACGATATTAACAAAAATAATAATCATAATTAAAGTCAAGCATGCTGTCTCCTCCCAACGATAAGTGAAAATTTATGATATCATAGCAAAACAGACAACGACATATCATGACATCATGAAAGCATAATATTGATAAAAAATTTGCCACCACAGCAAAAATGCAAATTCCCAAAATAAAATATCTAGAATTAAGATTAGTATAAACAAACAAATGCACCCTCAGCCACCATCCAATTCTCCCTATTTTTTTCTCTCCGTAATTCCTTCCAAAAATATTTCATACATCCCGTGTATACTTTGCCTCTCTCATCTCCTATGTTACACTCCTCATCATGCTTTCTATTCCATTCTTTGGGATAATACTGAAAAAAAAATGATCTTTTTTATCAAAACATACAATTAGTGCTAAACAAGTTGTCCATGCCAAAATATCAATTACAGAAATGGAGCGAATATCATCTTCTCCTAGCATTAACTCTTTTACTTCTACCAATTCCAGCTCACAATGTTCATAAAGTATCTCTCCAGCGACAAGAAAAATAAACCAAAATAGCACAAGAACAGTTCATGAATAAAATTAAAAGAAACACAAACATAAGGGCAAAAACTAAAAAAAAAAAAAAAATGTAAAACAAGGTCCCGGAATCAAACCAGGTGATCTAATTCCGGCGGAAATTTCTGAGACTTGAGCAGCTTGGCCTGCTTGTTCGAGAATCGAGTATCCTGATCGGCCGAGGTGCCCTAATTCACAAATTGTTCAAAAATTAGAAAGGAAGAGACAAACAGTAGCTCAGCAGACAGATCTGTTGCAGATGGGAATCAACTGAAGCACAGACTAACCAAAATTTAGCAAAACGAAACAATATCAGTAAAGCAACTAATCGAAGAACACTGTATTCAAAGCATACACAAAATACAAGAAAAATTAAGAAATTTTTTTACCCGGAAAAATCCACCCGACATTTTTTCTAGGGTTTTGCTTTTCCGCTCTGAGCTAATACAGACGAGATGGGATTACGAAACTGCTTGTTAAAGCGCTGGCCCTTAGCTTGATAGGTTGTAACGGCGTCGTTTTGGCATGCACAAAAAAAAAAACAAAAAAAAAGTACAACTACTGACATTTTTTAATATAAACCAAAAATTTTTAAATTCATATATTTTATAATTTAGAATATAAAAAAATACATATAAATATAATATTTTTAACATTATGAAGTATAAAATTATTTTCATTGTTTTTAATTATGGTACGCCTTTACTTACCTTTATTGTTTTGAAGAGACAATAATATTCAATTCTTTAAAAAATTCTATGGAGCAATCGGATTGTTTTCTTATGGAGCCATCCATTACTTAATATATTGACACCTGTCTAAATTGTATTTATTGTAAGACACGTGTCAATACACTATTGGTGAATAAGTGTGGATTGCTCCATAAGCCGAGCCATCCGATTGCTCATACTTGATTTTTATATTAGGTTATATTTATTTTATGTCATACTTGATTTTTACATTTTTTTTTCCAAAAGATGGAAAAGAATACATTAAATTTTATGGTTGATTTTTACATTTTTTTTCCAAAACATTAAATGGTTGCTGTATGGTATATTAGTGAATTATTTAGTTTTTTATTATTATAAAGTTAATTTATAATGTCACTTGATATTTTTCAATTTGATTTGATAAATAAATTAAATTTTATTTATAAAAATATTTTACATTTTATATATATAATATGGATGTCAAACCAAAACCCTTTCAAAAAATTATTAATTTTATATGTCATCTATGTAAAATAATAAACAAATAAGAAAGTTATAAATAAATAAAAATAAGAAGAATATATATTGAGAGTAATTAATGTACGAATTAAATAAAAAAAATAAAAAACAGCAATGTAGCATAGGGTAATTTTAGAAAAAGAACGTAAAATAGTTAATTGTATTTTTTCAAAGAGAAATGAAATATTTGATCGTATTTTTTCATGGAGAAATGAAATGGTTATAAACAAGTAATGTTTTATTTCAACCTAGTTCCAAACATGAGATATTGTCACATGAAATCTCGAAGCGTGTATGTTTTATTATTTAGGCTCAAAACATTCAAAAATAATATATAAGGATTTACATTATTTTGTTAATAATTATGTCTAACTCGTTATTTTCTTGTTAAAATTCTATCCTTCGACTTTAGTATTATCAAATTTATTCTACTTAATAGATCATACTTTTTCAAGCAATTTTCTACATAATTTTGAGTATGACTATAGTTTCCTCAGGTTTTGTGAAGATCAACTGAAAACACCAGCTCCTGACTGGTCTTCAAGCCACAAAAGGAGTGAAATTCACAAAACATGGTAACCGATGCATTTGAGTAAACAATCAAGTGCTAGTATAATGAAGCAATAGAGAAGTAATTTTGGCAATCGATACCAAGACAGTTCGAAGGTTATTGTAATTGAAATGCTAAGTACGAAATTCGTCAAGATTTAAACTCAAAAACATAAAAATAAGGGAAGCAAAAACTCTGTATGTACATCTGGCCATCACAAACGATACCATTTTCTCGAGTTCTTAGTTCATTAGAGAGACCAAAGAAACTGACAAGAGGAGACAAGAAATAACTCTGGTTTTCATCTGAACCGAGCAAAGACACCATGCATTTCCTCGATAAAATCAGAAGTCAAATTCTCCGGTTGCCTGAAGTAGAAAAACCAGGATTCAAATCCTCAGTTTAGTTAAGGACGAGCAAATAAAATCGTAATGGGTTCAAATTCCTTCCTAAAGGCAAAAAAAAAAAA